GCCTCAAACCTTCGAAATCTAGACGAAATAGACAAAGCGTAAGTGTGAAAAAGCGTTTTAGATTTATATTAATAATTACTATCATATAGTGATATATGAAGAAAAATTAAAAGTTCAAAAAAGCATATAAAATCACGAATGTTGTCTATAAATAAACCAAGAAGTGTTCCATAATCTCTAATGTTTCATATTGTATTAAAATCACATTACATATTACAATAAACTTACTTATTACAATTTCATTTCTTAATCGTCACAATTTATGATATTTAACTTTGTTTCCAATAACACTTTAATGTCTAACGGTAGTGATACTCATCCAACAAAATCAAGACACTTTTAGCATTCTTATACATACACTCGAATATACTTTTTTAAAATACTCACACCCCGTGCATCGCACGGGTGCGATACTAGTTTCAAGACTAATAAGAACTCTCTCTAAGAAGCTGTTTTCTTCGTCTGATCTGAATGTTTCCAGATCTGATCTGAATTTTTCTGATCTGATGTGATTTGAATTCTTCCAATCTCATCTGAATATCTGAATCCTTCTGATATGATCTTAACTTTCTAAACCGGTATATAATAATAATAATAATAATAATAATATCAGTAATCATTATAATAATCATTATAATAATAAAATAATAATAATAATAACAACAACTATTATAATTATAATTATAATTATAATTATAATTATTTAATAAGTAAAACAATAATAATAATTAGTAGTAGTAGTAGTGATATTAATAACCTTTTTAATAATAATATATAAATATTGACAATCATTATAATAATAAAATAATAATAATAACTATTGTTATTATAATTATAATAATTATAATTATAATTATAATTATTAAATAAGTAAAACAACAACAACAACAATAATAATAATAATAATAATAATAATTAGTAGTAGTAGTGATATTAATAACCTTTTTTTAATAATAATATATAAATATTGACAATAAATAAAGCAATATAAAATCTGTCCACGTAAAGAGAGTAACGTAGAAATGATAAACACATGAGTTTGTTCTTACAACCCAATAGCAAAAAACAATAATATAAATATACTTAGTGGCATATTCATTTAACGTCGAATTGAGCGCCAAATTTCAGCAACTATTTGTGACTGCACTTTTTCCATTATTTGTTTGCGCTCTGGATTAAACATGCTAGTGTCAGTACTTGGCTCAATGGTGATTGCACTTGAAATTGGAATATCCAACTCGTGAAGGCGGATAAAGTTGTGCAGTGCGAAAGTTGATACCATAATCGCAAGTTAATTTAACGGCATCCTATGTAGTATCCACCATCGGGGCTTCAATACAGTGAAACATTGTTCAATTGTTGTACGCAAAGATGAGTGGTGCTAGTTGAAGTGTTCTATCATTCCTTGTGGTGGAGGGCCATCACGAAAGTCTGGAATATGATATCTGATTTCTTTATTCCGTATTGGCCCAAGATATCCAAGAGTGTTCGTATATCCCGAATCCGCCAGATAATATTTTCCTAAGCATTGAAAATGTCATGATTGTAAGAGTGTGAGATACTACAATTATATATAAAAGAGTGCTTTCGTGATACCTGGAGGTGATGGGTGTGGGAATTGGAATTTTGATTCAGACAAGCAATGACTTTACATTATAATGTCATGAGCACTCCCTTGAAATCCCACGTTCACAAAGGTGAAAAGCATATCAATGAATATGTTGCCAAAACATTCCATGTTTTTTATCCTTTACGTCCTCGAAAAGGCACACCATTCTCATCTAAAATGAATGTGTTCCATCTAAAGCTCCAATGCAATCTTTAAAAAAGGCCAATACTTTGACATATTTGCAATTTTTCAGACATTTCATTTAAATCCTAGAACAACTTTATGACCTCGGTCGACAAAGTAACAAATGCATGTAGTACCTCTCTAAAACACTTACTAATAGTTGCCAAACCATGCTGGAACTTATCAGCAGTGGTACGATATGAAGCACCTTTAGCCAAAATGTATATGGCAATTCCTATTTGCTCCACCACCGAAACAAACCTTCCATTCGACAACAACCCCTTGTCTTGTACATATACCACTAGCTTGATAAATACATTCTTATTCAATCTTAATTGTTCCTGACATAAGTCAGGACGACCATTTAGCAATCTATCTATGTAACCCAACTGGGTTCTCCTCCAACCCTCAATGGCCTCCTTTCAAGTGGTGTTAGTAGTCTCTTTAACTCTTCTAATGCAATGATCAACACGCAGGCTCGAACTTGATTATGTCCATCCTATAACATATAATAAGAACTACTATTATTACAATATTTTAAAAATAGTTTCATAGCATATATGATTTGTGAAGGAGTAGCATGAATAAAAATGCATATATAGTAATAATAAAACATTCGGATTATATGATACATAACATAGTACATTTATATGTGTTAAGAGGCACGTCTAAAAACTCAAAATTTGTGTCGATCACATATAGCAAAATATATCTCACTTTCGTGGCACCCGTAATTTTGATTAGCATACTAAGGTTCACAATTAATTGAAACCTCATTTAATTTTATTATAACGAGTGTGAATAGTTGTCTCAAGCTTCATCATTACTTATATCCAAAGTTGTGCTTAAGAACATCAGTTTCAGCTCATCTGATGGTTGTGCCAAGAAATAGTCAGCACTATCCCCTTGTCTTAAAAACTGCATGCATTGAAACACGAACAATTCACCCTTCTTCTTAACAACCTCAAGACCAATTAGAGCAGTTGAGAGTATTTGTTCATTGGATTAGGTGCCAAAGATTCTTCATTGATAGACATTTTCAAGATATCTAAACATTTTTGGATATCACTCTTAGCTTTCTTGGAAGAACTAACACTTCCAGCAAATAACGACACAGAAGAACTAAAAAAGTCAAACATGAATAATAATACTTCCTCCGTCCCAAATTGTTTTGCAAAGTCAATCTTTTTTGGTCAACCAATAAAAAAAGTCAATGCTCCCTATCAATAATTAATTCCATTTTTAATAATTAAATTTATATATTCAAAAACTATATTAAAATCTCTTCAAAGCTGTAAACTCCAAATTAGAATATTATTAAAAATTGACATCCTAATTAAGTAAATAAAATGAAACTCTGACCAAGAAAAGTCAAATTTGAAAATCAATTTGGGACGGAGGTAGTAATAATAATAACGACATACTGAAAATATTAAAACTATAGATTTACGAAGACATTGATTTATTACTTGCACACATTATAATACAATCCATTAATAGAAGATAAATACTTGAGTGGGTTTTCTCTAGGGCATATAAATATACTCCATCCGGTTCCAAAATATCTTGACACTTTGACTTCATAGTTTTTAAGGAAATAAACACTATTTGGCACTGTTTGGCACTGTTTTGTGTAAATTTATTTGCCAAATAAGGCAAATAAGGAAGTGTAAAGATCTTTCTGGTACTGCTAAAAATGGAAAGCGTAAAGATCTTTCAGAACTGGAGGGAGTATAATACTACGTTTGTAATACATATGAAATATACATACACCTAAAGTCTTAAACTATTCCTAAACGCCAGGAGCTTGGTTACATAAAATACATATGAAATATACATATACGTAAACTATTCCGGTGAGGGGGTACCGACACCAGCTCACCCGTCAACTGTTTCGCCGGTGTGAACTCCGTAGCCATAATTTAAAGTTTGAACTTGCTCCATGCTGAACTGGAACGTTGCAGCATAAATGCCCAACGTCATTGTACCTTAATGCAGCGGGTTTGGACAGCTTGCTTGGAGAATCAATGCCAGCTTGTTTATTGGCTGGAATCAATGCCCAGCGTTTAGGACATTGATGTCCAACGTTCACAAGCCTTAAACAGCCATTTTGTGTTGGTCAGGATGTTACTTTGGTTGTGTTTTTATTTTACTTTTGTCAGAGTCTCGAGTTTGAGTCGGGTGATGGAAGATCTATGTTAACCACTTTTGGCTCAGTTACGCCCATTATAGGACCAGTGAGTCTGGTTCGAGGGCCGCCAGTTGGTAGTGGACGTTTTGTCTTTTTGTTTCTTGCTCAAGTTATGATTATTTAGTAGAAGTTATCTTCTTCCAAAAAAACCTTACCCCCATAGATTTCAAGAGAAAAAAATTAAAAACTCTAGTTCCATGTGTGTTTCGGTTAGATTTTTTTAAGAAACGTACTCTTTAAGTTGTTGAAGTATTTGTCTCACGTTGATTCGTATAAAATAATAACTAATAAGTAACATTATGAGGTACTCCTCTTTTTAAATTGACCTTTTAAGGAAAACTCTAACTTACTTTTTTACCCCGAGGGTTAGGGGAGGGGGCCTCGTGTAAACGGGCAAGAAATTGACTTCATGGAGTTCGAACCCATGACCTCCCATATGGGACGGTGAGAAATGGGTTTTTCTAACGAGCCTTGGGTCATCCCTACGCTCATTATCATAATCAAATGCATACTTTTTCTCATTTCAAGGAATCTTGTATGGTTTAGTGAGGATAAAGTTACATCTTTCTTGATAATACCAACATTAATTGTTAAAATTTACATATTTTGGAACTATGCAAGATGTTATCTAGCTTGAGTAGGTAGCTGATATTTGAAAGTATTATTTGTGTAACACTATAGAAAAACATTGTATATCTCACAGTTTCATGAAAAAATATGCAACGTTTACAGAGTTTGTGAAGAAATTATATTATCTTTTGTAGTGTGATGAATAGGATAAGTGATAGAATGGAGTATAGGTATGGATTAGAGAATGGCGATGATGCATAAACATATGAAATTGGACCTGGTAGTTGTGAAGTTGTGGCTTGCAGTATTGTATTGATTTATTCCTCTCATATAAGTAACCAAGAAAAGATTGAGTGGATGGTATCCGCCACTTGACCTATGCGCGCGCTAAAAGGAGGGAATAAAATTTTGCAACGTACTCCATCATATATTTATGTGCCCTGCAGCCAGCCTTAGCTTTTGGTGGATTCTTGATTATATTAATAAGGGTTGTGGTAATTTTTTCTTTAATTTTCGGAAAGGAGTAGGTTGAATAATATGATGGGAAGGTTGAGAGGCGTAGCCGCCGGCAACAAGAGCCTTGTTGTTGTCATTGTTGTTGTGCTTGTTTTTGGTCTTGAGCTAAGTCGTGACGGGGTGCGGGCGGATTCACCTTGCACCAGGGCATGCCCAAGCCAATGTTTGCTTCACAAATCACAAAATCCAACGGCGTGTTATTCATCATGTCTTCACCATTGCTCTCAAGGTAACCTTTATTCCACCTTCAAAAGAAATAAACTTTCTCGTTGAGGGACGTACTAATATTAATGATCGACTTGTCAATTTTTGTACAAGTTTTGTTGTGGAAGTATTGGGTAGGTTATTGTATGCCATTGTATTGGGTAGCAAAATATTGAACATATTCAAATAAAAAAGAAACTTTTGATATTACGGTATAAAGTAAAATATTATATATGGCTCTTATAAATAATCTCAGTATGAGTGCAATTATATATTAGTAATTTATATGATGTTTTATTAATCATTGAGTACCAAAATTTCCGCGGCATATTTAAGTTTCGTGGATGCACCAACTTTAGTGGGTATGTCATATAATGAAGTTCCTGTGTACTATACACCAAAGACCTAACAACGTCACTCTTCTCCATCAGTGTAATTAATCTTGACTAAATTACTCTAAATAATACGGAGTATTTATCATTATTGTCATCCAGCAAGCTAACGATATGTTCTGTTACTAGTAAAATCAACTTTTACGAAGGCAGAAAGCTAGAAATGTATGTAGTTTTTTGAAAGGAAAAGAACACTTAATTAAAACCTAATAGTCTCTAGTTCAATGTCATCCTCCCATAGAAAACTTTTTATCCAAATAGTAGCCTCTTGAAACACAAGCAACCCTTTTATATCTGCAGATTTATTCCATTCGCGAAAAGTGTGTTCATTTCATTTTCATTTACTCCAGTGTCGCAAAGGTTTCCATCTACGGTGGGGTAGGGGTGGTCGGATGTACACAGTCTTATCACTATACTAAGGCAACAGAGAGACCGTTTCCGGGCGAAAAGTATGTTGTAATTTAATAAATTTCTCTTCCGGTAGGAGCTTCTGTCAATCCCGAACCAGCACTCCACACTATATGTACTATTTCCATCTTCATTCTTTAGAGCTTTAAGAGTACTCTCTGGATCAAATTTAAACAATAATCTTCTCCATATTGAGCCACCAAAGGATAAAATTTTCAATTTAAACACTACTCTACCTTAAAGCTATCCGTTTTTTCAATTTTCAAAATAAGCCCACTCTATCTGTTATACAAAAAAAGAATAAAATCACTCACTCGTTCCCCTTTATGGTTGCATATCAACCTACAATCGTAATTCCTTTTTTCATTTCTGCTTCTAAACTACTACCTTCCTCCCAAAATTAACTTTCCCATTTCGAATCACGATGTTTGACCGACGATAAAATAACTTGATCCGTGTTCATACTCAGATTACTTTAGGAAATAAAATTACATATTCAGAAACTACATTAAAATCGCTACAAAGTCTGATAAAAAATTGATATATATAAAGGAAATAATTAAGAGTAATTTGAGTTGACCATGTGAATAGTGAATGAGAATTTAATTTTGGGACGGAGGGAGTAGTATTTTTTAGGTACGATGCAAAGGACACCTTAATAATAAATTAATAACCAAGAATTACTATACATCTTTTTTTTACAGATTATACATCTTATCTGGTTATCTCACAATTTGACCAACTTTGTCATGCTTATCAAATTTTATTTCATCTCACTCCTTCCAACATACCCAAACGTGAGATGATGTGTTATGGGCTAAGATCAAGCTTAAGGTAGTAGAACAACTCATGTATGTTGCCTTATCCAGTTAAAAGTGATATTGCTTATATTACAAATGATATGATTCCACACACACAAAAAACGAGTCAAGTTTTGTCCAAAAAAAAAACATTCTTAAAGCTTATGGAGTTATGGTATGATACGCACATGTTTGATATATTCGACATTCATTTGAAGATTACAAAATGAGCAATGCTTGGTGTACCCACATTACACATATGATAGACAAGTAGGCCAAGGTTGGATTGTACATGATATGTATACAAAATATGTGCACCAACAACATTTTGTTGCTACAAAATATGTAAATGAGTTTTGGCAAATTCACAGCTAATTTGACTACATTTTGCATCCACAGGAAAAAATCATCAAGCTATTGATGTGGTAGGGCAAAAAGGTGACGAACACATTGAAATCTTCTCTGAAGCCGAAGCTCCAGTGGCTGTGGACACAACACGATCATTGTAATTTATCTGAAGACGAAGCACCTAACACTACTTATTGTTCAATAAAGCTACGCCTCAATTTATAAACCCCTTCCACAATAATGACGACAACTATATAAAAGTAGGAATAATGACACATTAAATGTAACTGAAATCTAGAAATATCAAGGAATTCCACCACATATCAACAAATTACATATTTATATATATGCTACAAATCAATTTATTTATTTAACTATATTATCATTCTATTATCAACAAAATATTTATTGTGCAAATTTTATAATTTAATAATATTCTTTTCTTTTAAACGTTATACACATTCCTTTTAACAAAAGTTACCCGATTGTACATTGTGTTGGGTGCACGGTACAATTGGTTGTACCTTATGTTCTGCCGAGAGATGGTGACCTTTTGCTTGAATCATTCATATAATCATAAGCAAAACTGAAAATTGTTTTTTAAACCTAAATAGGCGGAGTCAAAATATTTTAATGCAGAAATGTGACTATGTTTCAATATGGACAATAACATAATCATAATACATTTAAGGAAAAGAAAACATAATACTCCTATTTTAAAATTTACATTGCGTTTTGTAAGGAATAAATGTATTTAGATTTTGATGATGCTAGATTAATTAGGATATTAGAGTACCCCTTCAGAAAATCTTGTATTAGAATTTCTTCTTTGTAAGCCTTAGCATAGTCGACGGACAGAGAACCTCAAGGGTTTCTGTTTTGACCAGAGATGCAACAGAGAAGGAAGACCAAGTGCTCAACAGAACTGTCTTATGCTGATTCCACCAGAACTGCTCTACACTTAGACAGTTTTCGGTCAAGCTACCTGAGCCGGTTAAACTAACGGGAAATTCCCTAACGTCTAGGAGCCTCTCAACGGAACATGGTACTGTTGACGCATTAAATGCACAATTAATGCGGGTCATACGTTGAGATATTAAAAGCTGATGATTGACCATGCAGATATCTTCTCGCCCCCAAAATAGCAAGTCGAAGAACCAACCGGTCAAATCAACATTACAAGCAAATAAATGAAGTTGTCTTCTACACTCCAACGGGAAGACTGCTCCCAGTATATAAGATACACTTCGAAGGACTGAAAAAAAGGAATGAACAACAATTGATACTATCTCTCTGAGGTACAAATGTTCAAACGCTCAAAGACTACAACCTCCATTCATCTAGAGCAACAAAGTTTAACGTTGGAAAAGATTATAAACTCCATATCTTTTCTTTCCAATGTGAGAGAATCATTCCTCCAGTTCTTCAACACTTCTAAAGCCTCATCTACACATCTTTTGTGACAAAGCTACGTTGGAGAAACAGTTTTTAACTGATAACACTTCTTGCAAAAGAAGGGACGTCTCAAACTAGCTGGAGTAGTGAAGTGGAGAAACTTCAAAAGACACAGTGAAACGAGACCAGCCATCAGGAAGCAAGGACTGCATCCCGGGTGGCAACTAGACTTGAAGAAGACGTGGAGAGCTTCTTAAGTGCTAGGGACTAAGGCGTTGTAACCTTTGTTTTACAAGCTTAGTGGAACAGTGGACTAGAGGAACACGTTGTTCCTTGAACCACTATAAAAAACACAGTGTCATTTACTTTCTGTACTTAAGATTCTAACTTATTAACTCAAAGACTTGGACTCTGTGTTCAACAGATCTGGTCCTGAGAGTTAACAGAAAGGCATTTGCCTTAGTATTTTCCTGAGGCTTCCCGTACAGAACTCTCATCCGCTGCCAGGTCCAGTTCTGTCACCAGAACTCGACACTCTCTGTCACTAAGTCTAGTCATGTTATGTTACCAGAACCTGACCTTCTTTGTCAAGTCCGTTGTGACTTAGAGAAAAGTTTGAAATCTTGAACAGTCTATTCACCCCCCTCTAGATTGTTCTTTGCTTAAATGAGGCCAACACGTTTACTCTTATTTAGGGATTTTTCCAAAATTGAACTTCACAACGGTAAGGATATTTTTATTTGCGTTGAAGTTTTCTAGTTTGATCTGTTTGAGTCTAATATGAGTTAGTGTGATAAATTTTTGGTCTATGTGTAATTTTACAATCATCCAAGTCTAATCTGATCATTTGTATTTACGTCTAGTTTGATTTGATCTATTTAAGCCTGGTCTGAGACTTACAAATGTGCACCTACATTAACCTCTATGGCTCTAGATTAATGTAATGTATCATGATGATCGAGAAAAGAATGGAAGTTTTGGGAAAACTTGGAAGCGTCGAAAACATTGATGAATTAATTAAGTTATTAAAAAGAAAACTTTCAAGGTTGGCATATGCATAGAAAGACATCCAAAAGTGAAAGTGTGTACAGTCACGTGTATACAGAGACAGTCTGACAGGCTTAAAAAATTTCTGAAGGAGAGACAGTCGCATGGAAGAACATGTTAAGCTTGGCACTGGTCGATTTGTCTAGTCCGCGCAAATTATTCTTTACCACAAATAGATTGATAAGTTTCAATTTCAAGTGATACACATTTACAAATTATACATCGAGTTTCAAAGTTCCAACCATTAAAAATTAGGGAAAAGGGCAAATAAGCCCTCGAATTACTAACCGAAAAAGTGCAAACCACCCCTTTTATAGGAGGCTCTGTCCGGCCCTCTCCATTTGGGGCAGTTACCGGTGGAATTTTTTTATGCATATTTTTGAGCATCTTCTTCATTAGTCTAGTTTACCCACACCAAATTTCAACTAAAAATGCAACTGGAAAGGCAGTCAAATGATTTTAGCAGTGGCAAGCCCTTGACGAAACCCTTTTCAATCCATATAGTTTGGCCAAAGTTTGACAAGGATATGCTAATCAGTGGCAAGCCCTTGACGAAACCCTTTTCAAAGCCACTTCATTGCTAGATATTTAGGAGTTAACCTAGACCTATGAAAAATAGTATATCGATCCTTGACACTTCATTATTGAACTCATTGCTTTCTTTATAGTCATTGTGTTTGAGTTCATTATTCAATACTACTCTCGTTAAAGATTCAAGAATTTGATGAATAATTTGAGCACAAACCTATTAACAAGCATACACTAGACCTAGGGATGGACTCGGGCCGGGCCGGTTCCGGTTCCGAGCCGGGCCCGGGCGGGCTTTTTTGTAGAAACATGGGCTCGGAACCGGCCCGGAGTGATACCGGGTCCGGTCCGGGTCGGGCCTACCCGGCCGGGTGGTGGGCCGGTTGCCGGGCCCGGGCTATTTTTTTTTTAATATTAAATTAAGATTAGTTGGACATAAAAAATTTAAAATATATTTATTTGAAATATGTAGTACAATTGGAAATTGAGCAAAAATTAAAACATGAAATCCACTTTTTAATAAATAAGAATCAATAAGAATTTCCGCCATCTTCGGTTGTTTCTTCCATAAAGTGGCGGGTGGGTTCAATGCTAATTTCTTGAGTTCTACGTTTGGCCTTCAACCAATCGTGGAAGCAAACAAGCGTCTCAAGAGAGTTTGCGCTCAATCTCGTTCTATAATCCGTTAGGACGTTGCCGGCCGCACTAAACTCTTGTTCCACAGCAACTGTTGATACCGGCATTGCTAGCACTTGCTTAGCCATCTTTGTTAAGATCGGGAACGTTCTCTCTTTTTCCTTTCACCACTGAAGAACGTCAAAGTCATCCCCTTCTTCATACTCAACAGGAAATGTTAGATACAAAGAAAGCTCGTTGATCGAGCTTTGTTCATTAACCGGAGTTGATTTACTTTTTTTCATAAGATTGCCAAATGCAGATTTCAAAATTGATTTTCCTTTAGATGAAGAAGATGTTCGTGGCGGAGGAGGGGGTGTGTTACCATATTGTGCATGAAACTCATTAAATAATTCATATAATAAATTACTAACCTCTTGAAATTGTTGTTTCGGGTCTATAGCCTTATCGTCGTACATAGGCAATGGACCAAAAAAAGAAGCATAATAGTAATCTAAACATTGCATCAAAGAAGCAAGTCTAAAACGAGGATCAAGAATAAATGCAATACTATATATATGCGGAATATAGGAATAATATTTTTAAAACTTTTGTTTCATGAAGTCTAAAATGAAGTAACAATAATATAATAATTAGATATTAAGTATATGTAATATGTAATATGTAAATATAAGTAAATAAATATAAGTAACAATAATATAATAATTATATATTAATATAAGTAGATAATAAATATAATATATGTAGTTATAAATTTGAGAAGATGAAGATGGAGAAGATTAGTAGAGAATAGAGATTAGAGAATAGGAATATTTGGAGATAGGGATGGACTGGGCCGGGCCGAACCGGCCCGGAACCGGACCGGCCCGCTACTGTGCGGGCCCGGTTGGCCGGTTCCAGGCTTTTAGCCCGTGTGGGCGGGTCGGGCGGGCCGGGCTCGGGCCCAGTTTTGGGCAAACCGGCCCGGGCAGTTCGGGCCGGGCCCGGGTCATTTTTTTTTCAATTTTTTCTTTTCCTAGGGTTGGGCTGGGTGTTTTGGGGAGGTTTGGGGGTGGGGGTGGGGGGGTCGAGGGATAACAAGAAAGCAAAAAAAAAATAAGTATTGAACTGAGCCCGGCCCGGTTAGGCCCGGATCCGGTAGCAACCCGGGCCGGTTCCAAACCAATGAATTGCAAAAAAAGCCCGCCCGGGCCCGGCCCAGCCCGGGTCCATCCATATTTGGAGAAGATGTGTAGTAAATTGTATAGAAAAAATGGAGTATTTATAGATTTTTTGTACCCCCACCCCCACCCCTAACTCACCCCGGGACCCCCTGGAAGGCTCCCAACGGCTATATAGCCATATAGCCGTTTGGGTTCAATTACAACGGCTCTAAGGCCTGTTTGGATGGCCAAAAGAAAAGAAATAAAAATGTAGCCATTGGCCCGGGCCGGGCCGCCTATTTCCTGAACCGTGCCCAAACCGCTCCACTCCCCCGGGCCGGGTCAAAGCCCGAACCTCCCTATCGTTAACCAGGCCAGGCCGGGCCCGCACAGTGGCGGGCCGGGCCTGTTCAGGGTCGGCCCGGTTTGGTCCATCCCTAACTAGACCTCTACACTTAAACATACTTATTGAGTTTAACTATTGAGTGCTCAAATAAAACATCGAACATCTATTGAGCCAAATCCATACCCCATTTGTAGAATTGTAGATCTCGTCGAGCTTCAAGCTCAAATTCAAACACCGCTATTACCTAAACGAGTCAAACTCGAACTCCAAATGTCCGAATTCATTAATAGCCTTAATAAAAACCAGCATATATCATTTTAAATTGTTCTATTTAGACAATACTCAAAATCAAAATGAACTTTATGTTTTGAATTATAATTCACTTCTCTTCTTCAAGTGCAACGTTTCTTTTAGTAATCTGTAGGACATCCATACAATCATCGTATAACTGTGTGAGGAGTGAGGACACTTGTTAAGGGTAAAATAGAGGTGATAGATTGTATTGTAGGCTTGGTACAACAACAAAAGCATAAACGCCTACTTTTATACTGCCAATCTAGGCAAGTCCCCCCCCCCCCCCCCCCCCACCCACCCATCAGCACGTCCATTGAAAAGCCATATTTGTACGAACTCCAATGGCTCTAGCAGGACCAACCAAGAATCGGTATTGCATACATGTCTTCCCATTTGATTCCTTCCTTCCATAATAAAAGTTTTAGATCATTCCATCCATCACATGTGACGGATGGACGGACGGATGGGAGAACAGAGTAATATGATTACATTTCTAAAGCTCGAGTACAAGTCCAATGGGACAATGATCACTTCCTGCAACATCTGGGATAATGTACGAGTCATGCACGTTGTCTGCAATGGATTCAGATGCAAGGAAATAGTCAAGCCTCCATCCTGTTATATGCATCCCAAAGCATAAATTACAAATATTAAGAACATACCCTCATGTCAGAAAGACGAAGAAAAAATGATGAGAAAGTGGAAAGTAGCAGAGTTGACAGTCATTGATCGCCTCGAATTGCATCACATACATAGAGCAGCTGTACTAGATTTATTAGGGAAATCACACTTAAGTGTAAGTCCCCTTAATTGTTTGTCAAGTATACTTGAACATGTGTTTCATTTTTTTACGCTTAGTCTCTTAATTGTAAAGATTTAGATACAACCAGACCCTTTTTTTGTTAAAATTGCCATTTACACCGTTAAATATTAGGCTTTATTGGAGAATTTCTGAGAATTTTGTACTTCGCAAACCTCGATGTTTTTCAATAATAATAATACAAATTGAAAAAGAGAATAAGACGCTGGATGTGTAGATAGAAAAGGACCAGGAAAATTATACCTTTATTAGTTTTACGCCCTCCATGCCTATATCCCCAATAAGTATAACCAACAACACCAGGATGTTGTTTCCTAAACGTGTCTACAAATCCCCTGTTTAAGAAGTTCTTTTGGAATGATTGCCTTTCCTCGTCTGTAAATCCTGCACTTCTTTTGTTTTCCTTGAGAAGAAGCAAAAAAACAAATTATTATATAGAGGGCATATAGAGGACAGTCAAAATGAACCAAAATGACATAGGGCGGCTACCAAGTAAACTAGTTCATGTAGTTGTGTTAGAAAAAATGTTAGCACGTGATCAGGAAGATAGAATTCCTAATGATATTTTATCAATTCCTAGAATAAAAGGCCTTCAATCAATTTTAAGTCAAAAGGCCATTCATAAGATCACAACATGCAAATATTGCCCCCCCCCCCCCCCCCCCCCCCCCCCCGATGATTATTCTACATGAAGTTGGACCAAACAAACTTACAAGTTGCATACTGAACAGAGAGAGAATAGAATATTCCATGTGTCCCTTTTTGTAAACACTATCCTTTTCTGTATGGCCCAAATATAAGAATACTTCACTCATTTGAACTCTACTAACTTTTTACTTTCCTACTTTTTACTTTTTTTGGTTTCCATACCACCCTTTTCTATTTTTTAGAAGGTTAAATTGGTACAAATAACTACTATCATCTTTATTTCAGGAAGTACTTACTGCCGGATTGTAGATATCTATCTCTTCATGAGCACAGTTTAAATCACCACACAAAATAACAGGTTTTGACTTTTCTAATTCCTGCAAATAGCATCATAAGTATGTTAGTTAAGTAATTAATGAAGGTCTCGGGGGGAAATGGTTGAGCATGAACAGATAATTTCAATTTCCAAATAAAGCAAAAAGAGATGGTATGAGGGAAGAGAAATTACATAAACACAATGATATAGAAGAATCTAGCAAGTACAAAATTACACATTATAGTGAGAATGTGAATTAGTTGGCACCTGCTCCCATACTGTTTAGAATAATAAGTAGGGTTGATAAATTGCAAAAAAAAAAGAGTTTGAGGGATTCATACTTTCATATAATTGCTAAGAGAAGGATCCCACTGTGTGAATCTATACGACTGCCATAGAAGAAGCATACATATCAAATTCTCTGAAAACTGGAGAAACTAAAACAGTAACTGATATAACATTCCAGTCATTACCAATCGTCTTAGGCCATCACCAGAATTGGGAACATATGCACACAATAAATATAAGTCATCAAATTCCACCGTAACAAGTCTCCCTTCTGAATCATGATCTGTGATACCCAGACCGTACATTACAGAAAGTGGTTTAAGCTGTCGATGAAAAGAAAAACAAAAGTGCAAGAAGTTATTGGGCAGCAATTTACTGAATCAGTAGGCATTGTTTTCTTATAAATGAGTCTGTCCCCAAAAAATTAGGACAACAAACAATGAAGACGTGATGGGATACATACACAGGAGTATGGGATGTGAAGCACTAGATAGTCACAACCTTTACAGTGAGGAATAAAAAGAGAATGGAAAATTACTAGCAGAACTTTGGGAATTGATTTCAGGATTTTTTATTGAAGACATTCTCCCTACCATTATCAAATCATGATCTCCTGCTTATTTTAATGAGTTAGTCTTTGTTACCTTTTACAAATGGAAGAGTTTAACTTAAATAGTAAGGTGCCGTTAGAAGAAATGTGCTGAATTCTAATGGCTGCTGAGCAAGTTTGGCATTGCTCGAGAGTAATTTCAGGTCTCTTGGAGATTTGCCTTGGGTCTCTTAAAGAGCTTTCTTTAAAATTAAAGATCTCTTACAGATTTTTCTTTTCCAACTAACTTTTCAATAAAACCAGTGTATTTCTTTGTGCCACTATCTACGAATTGGTCAGACCTTCCACACCACATTATGGCCCTAATCACAACTATGGAGAATGGAAGACAACCAAAACATAACGCAGATAACAGAGTCCATGACAAATCTCATAGCAACACTCTAACAGACATACTCAGAGCTAGATTGGGTGCTATTAAAGGAAGAAACTGGAGGCAAGTACTGTTCACGTATGGTCCCGAAATAGCAGATTAGCAGGTTTTCATTTCTAATGGAGTATCAGGACCGACCGCTCCCATTTGAAACATTTAATGTATCAACGTCTTACCACCTTGTAAACTGAGTAATAGGGATTAAAGATGCAATGAAATCACACTTCATTATCATTAGGTATGACCGGTATAAATACATACAAGCTAGAGAATACAAAAAAGGAAACTAAATCTGTCAGATTTACCTAGAATATTTAGTCTATCGCAGAGAATATATTAGCTACCATATATATACATAGAATATATTGATTATTAAATATGTATATTCTAACACTCCCCCTCAAGCTGGAGCATAGATATTAATCATGCCCAGCTTGGTACAGATGGAATTGATACGTGTCCTCGGTAGAGCCTTGGTGAACACGTCTGCCAGTTGGTGTCCTGTTTTGATGTGTGAAGTGCAAATTGTACCATCTTCTACCTTTTCTCGAGTAAAGTGACAATCAACTTCGATATGCTTTGTTCTTTCGTGAAAAACAGGATTATTTGCTATACGGATAGCCGCTTGATTATCACACCATAATCTCATGGGTTCTGTTTGAGCAAATCCAAGTTCACCAAGCAAATGTCGAAGCCAAACCAGCTCACATGTAGTCTGTGTCATAGCTCGATATTCAGATTCTGCACTTGATCTAGAGACAACATTTTACTTCTTACTTTTCCAAGATACAAGGTTTCCTCCAACAAAGACACAGTAACGAGTGGTGGAATGTCGATCATTAGGGTTTTCAGCATAGTCCGCATCAGTAAACCCTTCAATAACATGATGTCCGTGGTTTTGATATTGTATCCCACGCCCTGGAGCCCCCTTCAAGTATCTTAGGATATGAGTAACTGCATCCCAGTGTAATGGTAGTGGAGTGGACAGAAACTGACTGACCACACTGACCGGGAAAGCAATATCAGGTCGGGTGATAGTCAAATAATTCAGTTTCCCAACAATCCTTCGGTATACCTCAGGATTTTCCAACAAGTCACCTTCAACAGCTGTTAACTTTACATTTGGGATCATCGGAGCATCACACGGTTTTGCCTGAACCAAATTTTTATCATTTAGCACATCTAGGCACTATTTTCTTTGAGACAAGTAAGTTCCCTTGTTACTACGTGAGACTTTTATCCCTAAGAAGTACTTCAAGGGCCCAAGATCTTTGGTGTGAAAGCAAGTAGCAAGGAAAGCTTTCAGTTTCAAAATACGACTCGCATCACTGCCAGTGATCACGATGTCATCAACATACACAACTAATAGAATGCATCCAGAATTTGAGGTAGAGAAGAAAACTGAGTGATCATAGCCTCATAGGCACTCCTGCGTAGGCCATATTTAAATATTGCAGCACTGAAATGGCCGAACCAAGCTCGTGGGGACTGTTTCAGACCATACAACGATTTCCTTAATTTACATACCTTTCCAGACTCCCCCTGAGCAAGAAACTCTGGTGGTTGCTCCATGTATACTTCCTCGCGAAGGTCACCATTCAAAAAGGCATTTTTAATATCAAGTTGATGGAGTGTCCAATTGTAAGTATCAGTTAAAGAGAAACAATCTAATGGATGTAAGTTTGGCAACAGGAGAGAAAGTGTCAAAGTAATCTATACCATATGCCTGAGCATAACCCTTAGTCACAGAGCGCACACGACGAGAGTAAACTTTAAGCGGAGGAGGTGGAGGAGGAAGGAAAGTTGACGGGGAAACCTCACTGGGGGGCAGATTCTAGCTGGCTGGTGGTATAGACTAGAAACTCATCATTAAAGAGTTCCAAGGAAGGGGATGAAGATGAACTACGCTGAAAGAAGGGTGTTTCTTCCATAGTCACATGGATCCCGGTACGGGGTACAAAAACGGGAACGCGGATCGCCAAAATTAGAAATCCAATACGTAGAGGGGTAGGCTTCTTCGGTACGCGATTTCGGTACGCGGTACGCTGTACCCATTGTATATGGTACGGTGAACCATAAACATATTGAATTTACTAAGTATAAATATAATACAAGAATAATATTAAACAATTAACTTCAATAACATCAATCACATTAAACAAACTTAACAATGTTTGTGACAACAATAAAAGATATAAAACAGTAAACAAAGTTCAACAACTTCAACAAAACAAGAAATAAAGTAATAAACATTAAACAAACTTCAACAAAACTAGTCAATCCTTGGCCTCTTTCCTTTATCACTGGGACCAACATCTTCTTCTAAATCTTCCCATTGTAGCTCATCGAGTCTTGCTTGACCCTTCCAAATACCATTTTGAAGAAAAGAATAGAGGCAAAGAAGCAAAGTACAGAGTACAGAACTACAGAGTAAGAATAGAGGTGCGGAGAGGTTAATAGTTATACTTGATATGTTGAGTACGCTGAGTAACCCCTTAAATAGGCGTGAATGCCTGGAACGTTAAGTGTGATAAACGACTATAAAGTCATTTCACACTAACAAATGTGAAGAGTCAGGTCGTTTAGAGGTACGAAGCTCCTAGAACGGCGAAGACTTCAGAGCGACCCTGGGAGTTTGATGGTCATATAAAGTACGAAGCTTCTGGACTGCCGGTTCGTTGGTCTCTAGCAGGAACGGCAAACTGGATGAAGAAGAATCGGGGTACCCATCGGAAGAAGTACACGAACTGCAGTCTGGATCCACCGTACCGGAATCGCGAACCCTCTGCGTTCCGAACACGATTGTACCGCGAATTGGATCGCGCGTACCGGAATGGAAATCGCGGGTAAGTCTGCAATCCCTGTACCTATGGTTTCTTCAAAAAATGTGACATCTGCAGAGATAATATACCGTCCCAATGAAGGAGAATAGCATCGATATCCTTTTTGTAATCGGGAATAACCCAGAAAAACACACTTGATTGATTTAGGATCAAGTTTTGAGACCTGGGAACGCATATCCTGGACAAAGCATGTGCAGCCAAACACACGAGGCACAATAGAGAACAAGGACTGAGAGGGAAATAACACGGAGTACGGAATCTGACCATGAAGAACAGAAGAAGGCATACGATTGATGAGGTAACACGCAGTGGAAACAGCGTCTACCCAAAATGGTTTAGGAACCCCCATGTGAAATATTAAGGCTCGAGCTACTTCTAGTAGGTGACGATTCTTTCGTTCAGCTACACCATTTTGTTGAGGTGTATAGGGACAAGAAGTATGGTGTAACATCCCATGGCGAGATAAGTAAGTCTGAAAAGTGCTAGATAAATAGTCTTTAGCATTATCACTTCTCGGAACGCGTATATTCTTATTAAATTGAGTTTGAATTTCAGCATGAAAGGTACAAAATGCAATAAACACATCTGAACGGGATTTCAAAGGATAAAGCCAAGTAACCCGTGAAAAATCATCCACAAATGTAACAAAATAACGATGACCAAGTTTGGAAACGACAGGACAAGGACCCCACACATCTGTGTGAACTAAATCAAAATTTAGACTCAACACTTTTATTTATTCGAGGGGGGAAAGTTGTTCTATGATGCTTAGCAAACTGACATGCTTCACACTCCAAAAGAGACTCCCGTGACGGACTAGGACACATTTTTTGTAGTACAGAAAGAGATGGATGACCAAATTGACGGTGAACTTTCAACAGAGACGAACTTGTGCATGCAACTGATCTCGGCACCAAGGATTCAAAAACATATAAGCCATTAACCAGTCTTCCTTTACCAATAATCTGCTTTGTCCCAAGATCCTGAAAAAGACAATGAGTGGGAAAGAAAATAACACAGCAGTTTAGGGCTTTAGTAATCTGACTGATTGAGATTAAATTAAACGGACATTGAGATAAATATAAAACAAAAGATAGAGAAAGGTTTGGAGAAAGAGTTGTTGTTCCAAAGCCATTGACAGATGCGGTTGATCCATTTGCTAAAGTAACATGAGACTGGTTAGCAGAAGAGGTAAATGAATCCAAAATATTTTCATTACCAGTCATATGGTCCGTTGCGCCATAATCGATCACCAATTTGCGTGATGATGTAGAGAGGCATGCAGCAGGATTACCTGTATCAACTTGTGTGGTGGCAGATGAGGCTGTGAGAAAAAGTTGTTGTAGCCGAGTGATGGAGTATATGGCCCAGGGACCCCCGACCCACATACTTCCTCTACTACAATCAGGCCCAACAGGCCCAAACGGGCCAAGCCCAGAAAAATGGAGCTCTAAGCAGCCCACAATACGCAAAGGAGTGCCTTCGGCCCCATGGCCG